AAACATAACAAAAACATTCTGTTTTAAAACAAATTGTGATGGGCGATGAAAAGTGGATACTGTAGGGCTTCCCTGGTGGCGCAGTGGTTGAGAGTCCGCCTGCCGATGCAAGGGACATGGGTTTGTGCCCCGGTCCAGGAAGATCCCACATGCCGCGGAGCGGCTAGTCCCGTGAGCCGTGGCTGCGGAGCCTGTGCTCCGCAACAGGACAGGCCACAACAGTGAGAGGCCCGCATACCGCAAAAAAGAAAAGAAAAAAAAAAGTGGATACTGTACAATAATGTGGAACGGAAGAGATCATGGGGTAAGCTAAATGAACCACCACCAACCACACCAAAGGCCGGTCTTCATCCAAAGAAGGTGATGTGTATATATGGTGGGATTAGAAGGGAGTCCTCTATTATGAGCTCCTTCTGGAAAAGCAAACGATTAATTACAACAAGTGCTGCTCCCAATTAGAACAACTGAAAGCAGCACTCGATGAAAAGCATCCAGAATTAGTCAACAGAAAACACATAATCTTCCATCAGGATAACTCAAGACGACATGTTCCTTTGATGACCAGGCAAAAACTGTTACAGTTTGGCTGGGAAGTTCCAGTTCATCTGCCGTATTCACCAGACATTGCACCTTCGGATTTCCATTTATTCAGATCTTAATGGAAAAAATTTCAATTCCATGGAAGACTATAAAAGGCACCTGGAACAGTTCTTTGCTCAAAAAGATAAAAAGTTTTTGGGAAGGGACTTCTTGGTGGTGCAGTGGTTAAGAATCCGCCTGCCAATGCAGGGGACACGGGTTCGATCCCTGGTCTGGGAAGATGACACAGAGCAACTAAGCCTGTGCTCCACAACTACTGAGCCTGCGCTCTAGAGCCCGCGAGCCACAACTACTGAGCCCGCATGCCAAAACTACTGAAGCCCATGCGCTCTTGAGCCAGTGTGCTGCAACTACTGAAGCCCACGCATCTAGAGCCCGTGCTCCGCAACAAGAGAAGCCACTGCAATGAGAAGCCCGCGCACCGCGACGAAGAGTAGCCCCCACTCGCCGCAACTAGAGAAAACCTGCGCGCAGCAATGAAGACTGAATGCAGACCAAAAAAAAAAAGTTTTGGGCAGATGGAATTATGAAGTTGCCTGAAAAATGGCAGAAGGTAGTGGAACAAAATGGTGAATATGTTGTGCAATAAAGTTTGTGGTGAAAATGAAAAATGTGTCTTTTATTTTTACTTGAAAACCGAAGGCACTTTTTGGCCAACCCAATAATAAGTATGTAGTGGTATCTCATTGTGATTTTAATTTGCATTTCCCTAATGAATGATGATCCAGAGCATTGTTTCATGTACTTACTAGCCATTCATATATCTTGTTTGGAAGATGTCTATTCAAATCTTTTAATTGGTTTATTATTATGATCTCATTGAGTTGTAAGAGTTCTTTTATAATTCTGGATACAAATCCTTTATCAGATATATGATTTTTAAATATTTTCTCCCAGTCTGTGATTTGTCTATTTTCTCAGTATTTTGAAGCACAAAAGTTTTTAATCTTGATGAAATCTAATTTATCAATTTTTTTCTTTTATGGATTGTGCATTTGGTGTCATATCTAAAAACTCTTTGCCTTACCCAAGGTCATGAAGATTTTCTGTTTTCTCCTAAACATTTTATCAGTTGCTTTTAGTTTTGAAAGGCAATTCTGTTTGCTTGTTTAACAACTTCTCTAATGTTAAATTCATTTTTAAACAACATAAAGAAGTACTTCTATTGTCAAAGTACTGTTAATTTTGTCTTCTTTTTTTAGTTATTTAGAGCCCAGTCTTAAATATGTTCTTCTTTCCAAAGATAGATAGATAACTGGTTTGTTGAACAGTTAGTCACAGAATAAAATAACTCCTGCTTCTTCCACTTCGCCATAGTATGTCAAAAAAAAAAAAAAATCCCTTTAATGCCAAGCCTCAGAGAAGGATATTTCCTTTTCACTACTATGTCTGCAGTTCAAGTCACCTGACAATAGATTGTGCTTAAACTGTAGCCTTCTAAGTCTGAGCAACTCAACTTGCAAAAAGACTATCTTTGCACTTTCTATCCACGAACCTCATGCTATAGTCTTATTCTAGCTTTATTCTAATAGACCTCTGGATTTTTTACTAAGGTAATTACCAAGAAATAAGAATTTCGTGAATGGCATCATCTTTTCTTTAAGGAGGCCCATGTCCAATGTAATTTTATTTTCCTCACTGTTCCTGGCATAGTGCTCGATAAATATTTTTTATTATATCTATGTAATAAAAGGCAAAATGTTACACATTTTTATTTAATAGTGGCATAGTATGAGTTGTATTCCACTGTTTTTCTAAATCATCAAATGAATAACCACTCAGTTCAGATTCTTATATCTGTTCTCAAATAATTCTCAACATAAGCACTGTGGTCTTGAGCATTTGATGTTTCACAATAAATTAACTAACATACATCAGAGGTTGTTTATCAGAGTGGGATGCAATTCCTTTACCATGCCCTTTCTGTTTTAGGAATTTTATGTCAACCTTTTAGCCTTAAAAACCCTTTCATAAACTCAGACCCCTATCCTTACCTCACCTGTGGAAATTCACACCCTAATAAAAAGAAGTAGAAAAGCTTTAGCGTGTCTTTTTTTAAATTGTGGTAAAATATACATAACAAAATTTACCATTTTAACCATTTTTAAATGGTTTAGTAGCAGTAAGTATACACTGCTATGCAAAGAACACCACCACCATTCATCCCCAGAACTTTTTTCGTCTTCCCAAACTGAAACTCCATACCCATTAAACAATAATTCCCCATTATCCCCTGCCGCCCACCCCTAGAAACCACCATTCTACTCTCTGTCTCTATGAATTTAACTGCTCTAGGTACCTCGTATAAGTGGAATCATACAGCATTTGTCCTTCTGTGACTGGATTATTTCCCTTGGCATAATGTCTTCAAGGTTCATCCTTGTTGTAGCATGTATCAGAATGTCTTTCCTTTTAAAGGCTGAATACTATTCCATTATATGTGTACACCACATTCTGTTTATCCATTCATATATCAATGGACACTTGGGTTGTTCCCACCTCTGCACATCTTTAGATGGAGAGGAAGAGAAGATGGTATTAGTGTATCCATCCACAAGCAGGTGATATTGTAAAACCTGTGCTTCTGTTCCAGTGGAATTCTTCCCTCTTGTAATGTTGTTTCTAGCCTAGTGCTTACATTAGATAGCATACTATGGCATTTGTACAAGGAATGAACCCTACCTCTGAGAATGACCTTAAGAGAATGACCTCAAGTTGGGGCAGAATTATTTAATATAGGCCTTTTTCACTGCCAGAAGTTATGGAGCTTGGTATATAGTAGTTGCTCCATAAATGTTTGAATGAATGCTTAAATACAGATGGACAGCCGTTCGTAATTGCCAAAAACTGGAAATAGCCCAAATAGTATAGTCACACGATGGAATACTTACAGCAATAAAAATGAATGAACTACAGATATACACAAAAACATTGAAAAATCTTAAAGAGAGAATCCATATATAATAGAATACATATTGCATGGTTCCATTTATAAAATTAAACAGACATACTTAAACTCCTTAAACATATGTCTAAGGATGCATAAATAGATAGTAAAGCTATTTTTTATGAAAAGCAAGGGAATGAATATTCTAAAAGTCGCAGTAGTTATCACTGGGAGGAGAAGAGGCTCATAACTGGGAAGAGTCACGTTGGGGAAGAGAGGGAGATTTCTGGGATGATGATAATTGTCTGTTTCTTGACCTGAATCAAGATCTTATGGGTGTTCATTTTACAACAGTTTGTTTTATGCGCCTTTCTATATGGTCATCATATTCCACAATTAAAAAAATTTTAAGTTCTATGATTCTAAGGAGAAAAACTAAAATGATCATGTGACATAATCATACACACAGTATTTTAGCTTTTAGTTTGATTGATGAAATGAGAAAGATACCATTGGCCAGTTTGGAGAGTACCAGGAATGTGCTATAGATTGTCTATATTAAGGTTTCCTTTTTACTGAGTTACCTATGTGGATTCCTGGGCTCTGTAGTTTGGGGAAATGGAGATCGGAAGAGGATCAGTACTGAGTAGAAGCCCGTCAACATCTGCAGTCCATAAAAGGACCTGATGCTTCATTAGAAGACGTTAACCTCAGTGTCTCCCCAGTGTTACTCATTTCTTAGAGATTGTATTCATTTCCATCACAGCATGATGTGTGAGAAATGGGAAACAGGCATATAGGACAAATCTTCCTCCCTCTAATCCCTGTTTATCCAACTACTCTCTTGAGCCATCATAGAAAGTAGCATCAAAGATCAGCAAATCTTTGACCAGCTTTTGAAAAGAATTTCCTCATTCACAGACTTTCATCAGATTAAAGTTACATGGCAAATTGCTTCATTAGTAGCTTTTAAATTGAGATAATGAACAACTTTCCCAGTTGCTTGGGTTCTGCTAAATGCTGAAACCGTTCCCATGTATATTACTGGCTTTGGTGGTTCTTCAATTAGCTTAAGCCTCAAAAAGCTTGACTGGCCTATGAGTAGATTATTAAAATGGAAGTCCTGATGGCTCTTACTTGTTACGATGTATAACAGCTCAAGTGGCTACAGCTCATTTAGGAAGTGTCACAACAGATATTGTGACTAATTGGAGGGTATAGTTAGAAATATTTTCTTTAAAGATATCCAGCCATAGCTTTAAACAGCTTCATGTCAGATTTTACATATGAGGGGAAAGCAATTAGCCAACGTGCATTTCTCAGGGTAAAATACCAGAGTTTTGTTCCCCTGTTGTGTACAAATTTGACATTCCTTGACTAATTTGTTGAGTCTCTGTTCTAGACATAGCATAAATTTCTGATTTATAGGCATGAAAAACTGCCTAGTTTTCTGCATTTTTATGCTGCTTTTTGTACAGGTTCCTGCCTTACTTAACTGTCTTTCTTCTTTCAGGGTCTGACATTTCAGGAAGTGGAGAACTTCTTTACTTTCTTAAAGAACATTAATGATGTAGACACTGCATTGAGCTTTTACCATATGGCTGGGGCATCTCTTGATAAAGGTAATGAAACCCAAAATTTTTTTCTTGACATTATAAACACTGAATCTGTAATCTATTAGGTGACTACCCGTCCGTAACAGTAATACGTGAATTTTTCTTGACATTGTTTTTTGATTTGTTTTGTTGACACTGTATGAGCCTTGCATTTCACCCTGGGAGGCCAAATTCAGCAAATATATTGTCTTGTGCTAAAGGCTATATAGTCAAGGCAGATTCCCATCTTTAAATGATTAGTCTTGGAAACAGGCATCTGAGGCACAGTGAATGAAATTCAGAAATTCTCTCTTTAGAGCCAGAGTTATGACATATATAATGTGAAGCTAAAGTTGCTGTTAATTGTAATTCATTCTTTGTTGAGAAGGAATGGTTTGTTTTGTTTTTCATGTTAAAGTTTTTGTGTTCTTCTTTAAAAGATAAAATCATGATTCTGAAAATAGCACCCCCTATTGGCTTACTTCATACAAATTCAGTTCCAGTTTGTACAGTCAATGTGAGAGAGCAGAGGAATTGAAAACAGTTTTTTCCCCAATATTTTATTATGAAAAATTTCAAACATACATAACAGTTGAAATAATTATTCAGAGAACATCCATATATCCACCTCAATGAATATTTTGCTATATTTTCTTGATAGAATATCTATGCATATATTCATCCTTCTGATTATCAATCTCTCTTAATTTTTGACGCATTCAAAGTTAAGTTAGAGACATAAGTACTTCACTCCCGAATACTTCAGCATGAATATTAATTGAAGTTCAGTAGATTTTTACAGTTCCCTTGTGCCCTTTCACAGTCAATTTCTGCCCTGGTTATCATGAGGCAATCTTAATTCTGTGTATTTTTCCACCATAGATTAATTTTGTCTGCTCTAGAACTTCACACAAATGGAATTATACAATGTACACTCTTTCTAAAGTTTCTCTCAGCGTGTGCTTGAGATCCACCCATGTTGTTGCATGTACAGTAGTTTGTTCCTTTTTTATGAATAGTAATCCGTTGTATGAATACACCACAATTTGTTTATCCACTCTTCTGTTGGACACCTTGGCTGTTTCTAGTTATTGACTATCTTGAATCAAGCCACTATGAACATTCTTATGTTAGTCTTTTTGAGGACATGTATTTTCATTTTTCTTGGATAAATACCTAGGAGTAAATTGCTGTGTCCAGAGAAAGGTATTTCGTTTATAAAAAAACTTTCAGACCCTTTTTCATAGTGTATCTTTTTTATACTCCCACTAAAAATGTACAGCGGTTCAAGTGGTTCCACATTCTTGTCAACAGTTGGTGGTATCAGTCTTTTTTAATTCTTGTGATTCTGGAATGTATATAAAGGTATCTCATGTTTGTTTGGTTTTTTTTAATATTTATTTTTTTGTTTTATTTTTGGCTGCATTGGGTCTTTGTTGCAGCACGTGGGATCTTCGTTGTGGCATGCAGGAACTTTTGTTGCAGCACGCGGGCTCTTCATTAAGGTGTGCGGGCTTCTCTCTCTAGTTGTGGCACCCAGGCTCAGTAGTTGCAGCACGCAGGCTCAGTATTTGCAGTGCGAAGACTCTCTGGTTGTGGCGTACAGGCTCCAGAGAGCGTGGGCTCTGTAGTTGTGGCACGAGGGCTCCAGAGCACGTGAGCTCTGGAGTTGCAGCACTCAGGCTCTCTAGTTGTGGCTTGCATGCTCAGTAGTTGCAGCGCGTGGGCTTAGTTGCACTGTGGCGTATGGGACCTTAGTTCCCCACCCAGGGATCGAACCCATGTCCCCTGCATTGGAAGGCAGATTCTTAACCACTGGACCACCAGGGAAGTCCCCTCATTGTGTTATTCATTTGTACTTCCCTGATGACCTCTGCTGTTGAGCAACTTTTTGTGTTCTCATCATTCAGATATCTTCTTTGGTGAAGTGTCTGTTCAAATCTTTTACCCATTTTTATAAGTTTGCTTGTCTTATTGAATTGTGCAATTTCTTGATATATTCTAATATAAGTCCTATATCAGATATATATTTTGTGAACAGCTTCCTAGTCTGTGGCTTGCCTATTCATTTTCTTAATGGGGTCTTTTTTTTTTTAACATCTTTATTGGAGTATAATTGCTTTACAATGGTATGTTAGTTTCTGCTTTATAACAAAGTGAATTAGCTATACATATACATATATCCCCATATCTCCTCCCTCTTGCGTCTCCCTCCCACCCCTCTAGGTGGTCACAAAGCACCGAGCTGATCTCCCAGTGCTATGTGACTGCTTTTCACTAGCTATCTATTTTACATTTGGTAGTGTATATATGTCCATGCCACTCTCTCACTTCATCCCAGCTTACCCTTCCCCCTCCCCGTGTCCTCAAGTCCTTTGTCTATGTCTGAGTTTTTATTCCTGTCCCGTCCCTAGGTTCTTCAGAATCTTTTTTTTTTTTAGATGCCACATATATGTGTTAGCATACAGTATTTGTTTGTCTCTTTCTGACTTATTTCACTCTGTATGACAGACTCTAGTTCCATCCACCTCACTACAAATAACTCAATTTCGTTTCTTTTTATGGCTGAATAATATTCCATTGTATATATGTGCCACATCTTCTTTATCTCATCTGTCGATGGACACTTAGGTTGCTTCCATGTCCTGGCTATTGTAAATAGAGCTGCAATGAACATTGTAGTACATGACTGTTGTTGAATTATGGTTTTCTCAGGGTATATGCCCAGTAGTGGGATTGCTTAGTCATATGGTAGTTCTATTTTTAGTTTTTTAAGGAAACTCCATACTGTTCTCCATAGTGGCTGTATCAATTTATATTCCCACCAACAGTGCAAGAGGGTTCCCTTTTCTCTACACCCTCTCCAGCATTTATTGTTTGTAGATTTTTTGATGATGGCCATTCTGACTGGTGTGAGGTGATACCTCATGGTAGTTTTGATTTGCGTTTCTCTAATGATTAGTGATGTTGAGCATCCTTTCATGTGTTTGTTGGCAATCTGTATATCTTCTTTGGAGAAATGTCTATTTAGGTCTTCTGCCCATCTTTGGATTGGATTGTTTCTTTCTTTGATATTGAGCTGAATGAGCTGCTTATAAATTTTGGAGATTAATCCTTTGTCAGTTGCTTCATTTGCAAATATTTTCTTCCATTCTTTCTTTTTTTTTCAGTGCTTAACAATTTCTTTTAATTCTAATAATACTGAAAGTTAAGTGTTATTATTATCCAATTATTTTTTACATCTTTATTGGAGTATAATTGCTTTACAATGGTGTGTTAGTTTCTGCTTTATAACAAAGTGAATCAGTTATACATATACATATGTTCCCATATCTCTTCCCTCTTGCATCTCCCTCCCTCCCACCCTCCCTATCCCACCCCTCTAGGTGGTCACAAAGCACCGAGTTGATCTCCCTGTGCTATGCAGCTGCTTCCCACTAGCTATCTATTTTACGTTTGGTAGTGTATATATGTCCATGCCACTCTCTCACTTTGTCACAGCTTACCCTTCCCCCTCCCCATATCCTCAAGTCCATTCTCTAGTAGGTCTGTGTCTTTATTCCTGTCTTACCCCTAGGTTCTTCATGACATTTTTTTTTCTTAAATTCCATATATATGTGTTAGCATACGGTATTTGTCTTTCTCTTTCTGACTTACTTCACTCTGTATGACAGACTCTAGGTCCATCCACCTCACTACAAATAACTCAATTTCGTTTCTTTTTATGGCTGAGTAATATTCCATTGTATATATGTGCCACATCTTCTTTATCCATTCATCCGACGATGGACACTTAGGTTGTTTCCATATCCTGGCTATTGTAAATAGAGCTGCAATGAAGATTTTGGTATGTGACTCTTTTTGAATTATGGTTTTCTCAGGGTATATGCCCAGTAGTGGGATTGCTGGGTCATATGGTAGTTCTATTTGTAGTTTTTTAAGGAACCTCCATACTGTTCTCCATAGTGGCTGTACCAATTCACATTCCCACCAGCAGTGCAAGAGTGTTCCCTTTTCTCCACACCCTCTCCAGCATTTATTGTTTGTAGATTTTTTGATGATGGCCATTCTGACCGGTGTGAGATGATATCTCATTGTAGTTTTGATTTGCATTTCTCTAATGATTAATGATGTTGAACAATCTTTCATGTGTTTGTTGGCAGTCTGTATATCTTCTTTGAAGAAATGTCTATTTAGGTCTTCTGCCCATTTTTGGATTGGGTTGTTTGTTTTTTTGTTATTGAGCTGCATGAGCTGCTTATAAATTTTGGAGATTAATCCTTTGTCAGTTGCTTCATTTGCAAATATTTTCTCCCATTCTGAGGGTAGTCTTTTGGTCTTGTTTATGGTTGCCTTTGCTGTGCAAAAGCTTTGAAGTTTCATTAGGTCCCATTTGTTTATTTTTGTTTTTATTTCCATTTCTCTAGGAGGTGGGTCAAAAAGGATCTTGCTGTGATTTATGTCATAGAATGTTCTGCCTATGTTTTCCTCTAAGAGTTTGATGGTTTCTAGCCTTAGATTTAGGTCTTTAATCCATTTTGAGCTTATTTTTGTATATGGTGTTAGGGAGTGATCTAATCTCATACTTTTACATGTACCTGTCCAGTTTTCCCAGCAACACTTACTGAAGAGGCTGTCCTTTCTCCACTGTACATTCCTGCCTCTTTTATCAAAGATAAGGTGACCATATGTGCGTGGGTATATCTCTGGGCTTTCTATCCTGTTCCATTGATCTATCTTTCTGTTTTTGTGCCAGTACTATACTGTCTTGATTACTGTAGCTTTGTAGTATAGACATTTCTCCAAAGAAGATATACAGACTGCCAACAAACACATGAAAGAATGCTCAACATCATTAATCATTAGAGAAATGCAAATCAAAACTACAATGAGATATCATCTCACACCGGTCAGAATGGCCATCATCAAAAAATCTACAAACAATAAATGCTGGAGAGGGTGTGGAGAAAAGGGAACACTCTTGCACTGCTGGTGGGAATGTGAATTGGTACAGCCACTATGGAGAA